TGGAACTATCTTGGAGGCTTTCAAAAACACTGATGTTTGGTTCCCACTCTGAAAGATTTTGGTGTAACTGGGAATTTTAGAAGCACCTTAGGTGATGCTTATGCACAGCCAAAGTTGAGAATCACTTCCCTACATAAATGTATAAATAGACCAACTGTGCCTCGGTTCCTCATCAAAGCTTCTTATGCTTCACTCTGGCTCCCATGTCCCTCTTTACCCCAGCCCGCTTGTACCAAATTGCACTTCCTCCTCTTTCCTAAGTCAGACCTTTCCTATTTTGAATTTTGTCCTTTCAGGGCTATGTTGTCTGCACAAATATACAATAAACTTCTACAGCCATGCTCCCTGGAACGGTGCAATCCAAATACATGACTTACTGGCAAGTATTTCTGGCCCCTGGAGCAGTGTGTCTGTTAAACAGTAACTGATCACAAGTGGGGTTGGGGCTACAGAGGACATGGGTGAAGAAGCTGCAAAGGCTACCACTTTTCTCCTGATGCAAAGAGCAGGCTTCGCAGAAATGTCTGACTCCTTTTGGCATTGCCCTCTCAGGACAAAAGTGGTCAAGTTACAATGCCTTCCCATGGAGATGGGCTATAATCACACAGATACTCCTGGGTTGTCCCAATGACCCTAAACCAATGAGAGGGCTTTTAGCTTACTCTTCTAAATCTGCTTTATTTTTCCCTTCTGCCAAACATTTTAAAACCAAGTATCTCAAAGAGCTAATCTTAATCTTCAGCCAACCTTGGGCATAATCTTTATTTTCCTTTTCCTTCCTCAAAGCCATGGTGATCCCTTAATGCAGATAACAGACACATGGTTCACATTTTAAAAAAGGACTCCAACAGTAAACTTTTTCCTTTACAATCCCTTAAGATCTTTGAGTACTAGAGACCTGGATTCTGATTTATTAACTGGAGAATCATTCAAATGCTATATGAAAGATTTGAAAAATTATCTTTATGACTGAATTATCAGAAAACAACTCACTCAGTTCTGTCACCATCCTTCCAAAGTTAGATGATGACCATGATGATGACGGGCACTAAGTCTGGGTCTCAATGAAGTGTAGAAAGCAGAGCTGGCAGTACTGCTTTTGCAGTGGATTAAAATAAATGATAAATCAATCATCCATCCCTCCAAACTCCAAGGTTAATGGATGATTTCTTGGTAGGGATTATTGCTCGCATATTAGAACCAGGAAAAAAAATACCTCTAGCTTCATGATGAATTATAATGCTAAAGGCCCATTTTCTCCTGGGACACTAAGAAGGGGTTATCTCTTCAGGGAGTCATAATGAGATATGGTCAACTTGTAGAGAGACTGTGGTTTGCAAGCCTTCTGATGTCACCTTAAGCAGACAAAATGTAATTTTGATGACAACTAAGGCTCAGAGTCATTTTCTCTGTCATTGTTCAAGTTACTAGGAGTATTTTTCTTATGTTTCAAGATAGAGGCAAGACATTTAAATAGTAGAGAAGAGAGATGTAAAGTATTACATGGATCAACAGTACTCGTTTTCCAAAGATGATGGTAAGATTGTGTGTGTGTGTGTGTGTGTGTGCATGCTAAGGTCAGTGTAACAGAACAGAAATGTTCAAAGAGAAAAATCACGTCCATATTAGATTCTTGTTATTGCAATCTCTTTGAATTAGAAAAATAATTTTGATACAGTAAAACCTCATTAATTTGTATTCCACTAATCAGGAGTTTGTGGGATGAAGTTACCCTTACATTAAGAAAGGGTTTATAAAAACAATATTGAAAGACGAAAAGAACCTATTCTTTTCAAGCATTTCAGAAGCACCTTACTTCCAATTGACGTGCCAATTATAAACTTTTGATCTATTGATTAAAGCCAGTTTTAAGCACTTCTGTGAAATGCTATTTTGTCCTTTCTGGTATTTTTCCTGTATGCTTTAAAATATTCTGTAATTGTTATCTTTCAGTGATTCATGTAAGCGTTCCCCAAAATAGCATTTTATTGCATATGAACCACACATGTAATTTTGGGTATAATAATTTGTTACTGTGTACTAATGATGTTTAATTTTATACAAGACATATTACATATTCACACTTAATCTGTCTCCAAATGATGTAGAACAGTGGCTCTCAACTGGGGGTAATTTTGTCAATGGCTGGAGACATTTTTGATTGTCATTTTGGGGCGGGTGGGAGTGGGGGTCGCTACTGGCATCTAGTGGAGAGAGGCCAGGGGTGCTGCTAGACATCTGCAGTGCAAAGGAGAGTGCCACATAACAAAGAATTTCCTGTTAACAGTGCCATTGTTGAGAAACCCTGATATAGAACAAGTTAAGTCACATCCTATTGGGGCTTTAGAGATAGTCATTGAATTTAATGCCACTTTGGGCTTTATTTCATTGTTTCTAAAATAAACCAATATTTTACTCTTAGTTTTTTTTTTAAGTATAGAAATGATAAAGTATTTGTTCAGAAAATCAGAAAACTGGGTCCTTGAAACTGATGGTACAAATAGTGCAGTGCAATTTGCCTACCAGTGTTTTCCAAATCCTGGTCTCAAGTTTCTTCAGTATTTTTACTATATAATTTTATGTATCATGTTTGTATTTCAAAGTCAGGTTCTGTTACCCTAAGGTTGTTCACAGGAGTCTGGAGAGATTCCTAGAGAGGCTTTTTTGAGAAATCAGAATTCAAGGACTCTGAGAAATGCTATCCTGGTATACATTTTCTGGCTCTTTCCCCCATCTCTTTTCAACGATTACTCTTCTCAAAGATTAATTTGTTCTTCTCAAAATTACTGAGAACATTTGAAGGAAGTGCCACTTTAAACAAATTCACTAAAAATTTAAAAACTAAAAAAACAAGCAGAAATACTATTTTTGGCTACTCAAATAGCCTGGACTTCAGGAAAATGGTGAATTCTTAAGAAACACAATGTGAGTCTGATAAGACCTTGATTAATCAAAATTCAATGAGCCGAACCTATTAATTTTCTTTAAAAAGATTCTTTTTGAAAGAACAACATACATATTATAGGATGGGTCCCAGAATCTGCATATGTTCATTTCCTAAGACTTTTGACTTCCAGAATCATATTAAATGATGGTAGCAGACATCTTTATTTTGTTTGCCTCTACTAGCTCTCTGTTGAGTTATAATAGATAATCTTTTATCATGTTAAGGATATTCTTTATTCCTTTTTTTTTTTTTTAGATGTTGGGGGTAGGAGTTTATTAATTAATTAATTAATTTTTGCTGTTTTGGGTCTTTGTTTCTGTGCGAGGGCTTTCTCTAGTTGTGGCAAGCGGGGGCCACTCCTCATCGCGGTGCGCGGGCCTCTCACTATCGCGACCTCTCTTGTTGCGGAGCACAGGCTCCAGACGCGCAGGCTCAGCAGTTGTGGCTCACGGGCCTAGTTGCTCCACGGCATGTGGGATCTTCCCAGACCAGGGCTCGAACCCATGTCCCCTGCATTAGCAGGCACTTTCTCAACCACTGCGCCACCAGGGAAGCCTCTTTATTCCATTTTTAAAAGAGCTTTTAATAAGGAATAGGTATTTGGTATCTGTTGACATAATCCTGTGGCTTATGTTATTTAGCCTGTTGAGTGACAAAATTTCTGTTGTCCATAATGGTGACTAAAGCCAAGATAGCAAAAACACCACCACTTTATAACAATTTTCAATAGTAAGTATTGAACCAAAAAAGTAATGTGGTACACGGGCCTCTCCTGTTGTGGCCTCTCCTGTTGCGGAGCACAGGCTCCGGACGCGCAGGCTCAGCGGCCATGGCTCACGGGCCCAGCCGCTCTGCGGCATGTGGGATCTTCCCGGACTGGGGCACGAACCCATGTCCCCTGCATCGGCAGGCGGACTCTCAACCACTGCGCCACCAGGGAAGCCCCAAAAAAGTAATTTCTAATGAAAGCCCTTGTTAATCACCTAAAACATTAACTGAGGTTTTACTGAATCAGACTAAAGAGAATGACCCGTTTGGTCTGTGAGTGTCAGGCTGCAAGAGCACCTTTGAATTGAAGACCCCACTGGGATTGAACAGTAATATACTGTGTAATTGGCAGACAAGGATACAAATGGAGCATTAAAAATATATCACTTTAGAACCTGAAACCAGAGTGTGTGAAATCAGTTCTCAAAGCTAACGACATTGTTCCTGCAAGTCTAGTTTCCCCAAACTTATTGTCAACTCCCCTGCAGAGTATAAGCCAGGCTGAAAAAATGCTTCGAGGTGACCCACCCCTGCACGGTTTGTGACTAAAAATAGCAACTTGTTCTGAAGGTGATAGAAATGGATATAATTGTGTTAGGAATAATTTACTGGCGATATTTGATTATGACCAAGAACTGTGAATAATGTAAAATATTAGGGAGAGAGAAGAACGTTAATCAGACTCTTGCCATAAGAATTCAATAATGTCCTAGTATAATGAAAGTTATAGATGAAAAGAAAACTCTGGTTTTGTTTGTTTTTTCAGTTGGGTATTGCAAATGTACTTGAAATGCACTGATGTCTTCTAACACAGATGTTTTTAAATTGTCAGGTGTGGTCCAATTTATAAAAATAGTTTACCATAAATCTTTTTTTCTTCTGTCACAACATGCTGCTTTTTTCTTTTCCTCTTAAGATGTTAATTTATCATGCAAAAATTTTTTTCATTAAGTGCATTAATGCTTTTTGTTTGTACAGGATTTTTTCAAATCAGGACTCCCCGTAGTTCCTAAATGTAAATCCTTAGCAAACGACATGCCAAGATGATAGCTCCATTCCACATGGGAAGAGGCAAATTCAGCCATATCTTGGGGTTTTAACCAGGGTTCCAGCCTTTGGGTTGTACAGTGTCTCTGATAAGTCTCCCTTATGATAACTTCAGATGGACTGTAATGGAACATTTTGTGGAAGAAACTGTCTTCTAGCAGTTGAATAGTGATGCTGGGAATAAATTTGGTTTCCCTGAATAATGGTTTCTCAAAGCAGTCATAGCTTCTTTAGAAGTTTAGAATTGGTACCATTTCTTATCCTTATATTTCAGCATTAACTGCAAAGAAAAAATAGTCACCATAAGATGTTAAAAAATTATTTAAAAGTGCTAATCAAAGTAAGCTCATATTGAGCTAATCATGCATATCAAAATCTCAAAACTTATAAGACTTCCTTTATTTTTTGAAATAAAGTGCATATAGAAAGACTTTTTAAAAAACCAATCAAGCTCTAAGGATTTGCCTGACAGGAAATGATTTTTAATGATTGAGACAAAAAGGGGTGTGTTGATCCCAGCCTCTACTGCCCCCTCACACCTTGTTGGGGGAGATCATGTAATCAACCTAAGTACCTTTTTAGCAGCTGATGTACAATATAGACCCAGTGTACCAGAACCAGTGGATAATTTTCTTTTAAGTCATCCTCTAAGGTAAAGAAGTATCAATATAGTATTAAAAAAACACTTTTTTCTCCCCAATATGAGGGGAGTTATAATACTTATAATGAGATCCCAGTTACCTTGGCTCTCACACAGGATTACTTTCAGTGACATCTCTGTTTAGGCTTTCTTTTGCAGGACCTAAATGTTTAAAGTTATTACTGTATGAAGATGCCTTTATTTACTTAGGCAGTTTACCTCATGTGCATGTTTGGAAAATGCTTCTGCACTGGTCATCATGCCTGCAGTTTTCTCTTCCAGCTCTCCTAGCCTCTGTCCTCTCTCATCAAGTGCGATCCGTGCACGAGTCAGCTCTCCCATCACCCCTCCGGCAGCACCTTTCATCCCTTCTATACCACCTGGTCCAGGAATGTGCTGTGCGAGGCTGCGTGATGCTTTTCCTGCT